GTGTCCGTGCACAGCGCCGCCAGCATAACGTCATGATCGATGGCCGGGCCGGCTGGTGGGCTCCCTGGACGGGCGGTGCGCAGCGGCGTCACGCGAGGCGACGCCACGCGGCACCTCCCCAGCCGGTCCCCCGGTCAGCGGGGGGATGGGAGTGGGGGGAGGGGCACCGCGCCTGACCTCTGCCCCGCAGCTCCCAGCGGCACCGCAGAAATGCTGTCGTGCGGGCCGGGTGTAAGTACCTGTGAAAGCAGCTCTGCAGTAATTACTTCCCCGGCTCACAATGCAAATGTCTTGACGTCAGAGCTGACGCTTCCCTGAGAAGAGCGGCCGGCTGGCGGTGTCGGGCGGCCGTTAGGGGCGAGGGCTGGAGCGCGCCACCTGGTGCACCGGATGGGGCCGCCCTGGCAACGGGCCCACCTCCCACGCCCGCCACATAGCTGCTCGACGGCCAAATAGCTTGGCATCGCATCAACTACCTGCCGAGCTGGCAACACAGTCCGACGTATATAAAAAACAGATCTGGAGACAGTGTGGGTTTCTCCAACAAGGCCAGTTTACCAGATTGTATCGGGCTCGGCTCGACTGGTTGCCCTGAGCGCGGGACACTCCAGCTGCCCCATCAGCTCGCGACACCGCCCTCGCTAACGCGCGGCGACGCTCGTCCTAAGCACATACCCGTCTCAGAGGCCCGCACGACGTCATTCGTCACGTTTGCAGACTCGTGACCGGGCGGGAGTGTGCCGTCACGAGGGAGCAGGGCGCAGGTGGGGTCGTGGGAGGGTGGGGGTGGCGCAGGCCACGGAGTGGTGACCGTTGCGGTTCGCGGCGGGCGGTCGCCGGGCCGGGGCCGGACACGATCCCTGGCCGAGGGAGTCATCGCGCCTGCGAGCTTGCTGCAGAGACGGTCAGTTCGTGAGGACCGGAACGGCTCTTGCCGACGCAGGACACCAGCACCGCCGGTCACAGTGTCTCTGCCGCATTATGATAGATTTCGCACTTCTTTGTCACTACAGGGGGTGAATTCCACCCTTGCGGTGCTTTTCAAAGATCCTCGTAATCTAAGGCTAGGACAATAAATTGTGTCAGCATTTCAAGTGGAATTTTCCTTCACTGAAGCGTGCAGATGAGAGACATGCGATTATGAAGCTGCCTAAATAGTCAAGAATAGCTACAGGGTGTCCCAGTAGCGTGATCTGAAACAAATTCAGCCGGCAAGCTCTGCGCGCGCACGCACGCACACGAATACGCATGGGAGCATTGGCCGCACATCGTGGCAGAATGTACCGATCCGCTGCTCCTCGTTTCCAGGAGATCTACATGTCTCACGCTCTGCGGCGGATATCGTACGCCACGTGTGACCCGAGCCGGGGTCAGTTCTCTTTCCTGGCCCGGGAGCCGCGGGGCCACCTGAACCTGCAGTACTGCCACACCTTCTTCACCGGCTCTGCCGACAAGGTAAGCCGCTGGCTACTCTTGCAAGAGCCACAAGAGAGCTGAACGGCGTCGGAGGACCTCCGCTGGCGAGGCATGGACATTGGCCCTCATGATCACAGTCTGCCAGTGTCCTATCCACTGATGGTGTAAAAGGGTACGCGCCCTTGAGAAGAATTCTTCACCGTTGGCGGGGGTCGCACGCTCGCTGTCGTGCGGTGGCACAATATAATTACACTGCACTTCTCGCGACTTTGCAATGAAAATTAACACGTGAGATGTGATGAGAAACCACGATGACGGTGTGATTTTCGGCTAGCTTGAGTTCATGAGCTTCACTATTACATCCCTGTTTACGAATGTTTACGGAGGTACCTCCGTCCCCAGCTAACTCGAAGCGCAGGCGCTACGCACATGCCACCGGCATGAATAGGTTGGTTCTTTTCGGATTCAGATTGTTGCTGATGATAGTCAGGTTCTTTCTTGCTGACCCAGATGAATATGTTAGACAGTACGAGGTGAAAAAGTGCAGGTAACTGACGTTATAACGATATCTATTCGGAAGAGATAAAATGTTGTTTTTGGGCAGAGACAGAACGACCGTCTTTAGGGGGACTGAATAACGTCGCCGTTTACAATGATGACTGTTGTCAAACCAGCCTACCTGTATGGCGTAATTCAAGTCTCGCATCCCAAACAAAGCTACTAAAGATCCGTATGGAGCACGTCCCAAGAATCTTACACGGGTGGACCTACTGGCCATTGTACAAACAGGAAGCAATCTTCCGATCTAGTTAATATGCACTGCGGTGTGCTGGCCCCACCCAGCCAACATGTCGGAATGTCTCAGGCATGTGAGCGGGCCTGACATTCAAGGATAGCGCTTAAGCGCTCTTCACGTAACAACGTTGCACTGAGATGAGGTTTCGTCATGGTGCAGATTGCAAAGCATAAAGTATGTACACAGAATATCAACGGGATGCAGCATTAAGCTTGTTTGCACGAGTGAAAGCTGAAGAGTGGCGCAAATTAGAACCGCACGCGGTGAGCGCTACCTGTGCAATACCGTGCATACCGCCCGGCTTTCAGGGAGGACATCGACAACGACGCTCACTTCACGCCGTTCAGTGCACGTGCACTCAGTTCCCATGTCTCTTTGTGAAAGTGCACGACCTCAGCAACTACTGAGCTCCCCCACTGCGGAGATCTTCTATTAGCCTTCCGCACGCCACGATGACGACTGAGAACAGACGTCAGTCGGCTGGGAGGCGTACCCATGGTTGTCTGAGAACAGACGTCAGTCAGGAGGCGTACCCCTGGCTGTCTGAGAACAGACGTCAGCCAGCGGGAAGGCGCATCCACGGCTGGCTGAGAACAGACATCAGTCAGCCGGCGGCTCGCCCATTGACATCCCGAGGACAGTCGTTGGCAGCAGTCTGGCGGCGTGCCCTGGCCCTGGCCGGATGAGAACGGGCGAGGGCGCCGCGTCAGGCCGCCGCCCACCGCCGGCTGGGACAGGCGCTGGCGTACCCCTCGCCGTCAGCGCCGTCCGTCCACGCCGCGCTACCGGGAGGGGTGCGACGCCCGCGAGCGTGAGACGCCCGTATTTGGGGCCGCCGGGGCCCGGCCGGCTGCTGCTGGCAGTGAAAGTGCCCGCCGCGCCACGCTGTCCGTAAGCCGTGAGCCCCACGCGCAGCCCAGCGCCGGTGCTGTTCGCATCCGGGCCGCATGAGTGCAGAGCCTCACTACCGGTCAGCGGGGGCAGTCGAACATCAGGGTTTGTTGACCCCGAACGATATGTGATCGAGAATGTGATGGTTTTGCTATAGACATCTGATCAAGGATTACCATCGTATAGACCTGTCGTGGTCATGAAATTCGTGCTTCAACATTTGGCTGAGTCGGATTTCCGGGGCCAGCCGTGGGAAATGGGATGATCGCCTGCACGTTAACATCAGGCTTCTAGGCGTTTCTTTTCAAGAATGGCCCGCCGCACCGCCATGGATAGCCGTTTATTGATGCCAGTTGTGGCCTGGCATTTCGATGTGTTGCAAGCGGGAGTGTTTGATACATTTTGCTGTATGCTTGCAAATTTAGCATTCAGTGTATCTTAATCAAAGAACCTGACGCAGGATTTTCACTCACTGCTTACCGATGTCGTTAATTGCAAGGTCAGAACCAGCAGCTTTCTCCCACTCTGTGATTAATTTATGCACATATCGTCGCTTCCGCGACCCCTGCGCCCGAATGTGAGCGAGGTCGTCGAGCTTCAACGCGGGCGATCTACCCCGGCACCAGAGCCATTGATTGGTTGTTTGTTTTCGTGATCGGCATCCAGCCGACGTCGGTTCGTCGACGCGGGTATGTTGAGCGGCGCCTGCGCGCGGCCGGCTGACGCCCTGCAGCCGAGGTATGCGGCGGCGGCAGCTGCCATGATGGCGGCCGCCTGACTCAGACGTCCGCCGCCCGGGCCGGCCGTCTAACGGCCGCTCATCATGCAGCCGCAGTCTGGCGGCGGCGCCCACCGGCCGACGGCCCGCGCCGGCGCCGCTTGGGCCCGGCGCCCACCGGCCGACGGCCCGCGCCGGCACCGCTTGGGCCCGGCGTCCACCGGCCGACGGTCCGCGCCGGCGCCGCTTGGGCTCGGCGCACACTGGCCAACAGCCCACGCCGGCGCATCTTGGGCTCGGCGCACACCGGCCGACAGCCCACGCCGGCGCAGCTTGGGCTCGGCGCACACCGGCCGACAGCCCACGCCGGCGCAGCTTGGGCTCGGCGCACACCGGCCGACAGCCCACGCCGGCGCACACTGGCCAACAACCCACGCCGGCGCCGCTTGGGCCCGGCGTACACCGGCCGACAGCCCACGCCGGCGCACACCGGCCGACAGCCCACGCCGGCGCACACTGGCCAACAGCCCACGCCGGCGCCGCTTGGGCTCGGCGCACACCAGCCAACAGCCCACGCCGGCGCAGCTTGGGCCCGGCGTACACCGCCCGACAGCCCACGCCGGCGCATACTGGCCAACAGCCCACGCCGGCGCCGCTTGGGCTCGGCGCACACCGGCCGACAGCCCACGCCGGCGCCGCTTGGGCCCGGCACACACCGGCCGACAGCCCGCTGCGGCCGGTCGACGGCGGGTCGCGGCCGAGCGGGCGGCGGCGCGGCTTGGGCCGGGCGCCCACCGGCTGCCGCTGAGCGGCAGCCTTTCTCCGGCGCCGGTAATGTGGTGCGCCGGCGCAGATGCAGGCCACCGTCGCCCGCTCCCGCCGCGTCGTTAGCGTCCATCATGCCAGGAATCCGAGCCGCCGCCGCCGGACCTCTTTCCGGACGGCAATGGCTGCTGCGGCGGTGGCGGCTGCTGCGGCGGTGGCGCCGACGGCGGCGGAGGGCGACGGAGGTATCACGTGTCAACACTGACACCGACACCCGTACGGGGTGCGAAGCGCGTTGGGGGCTCGCGCCAGGGGGGTTGGGTTCCGGTCACCCAGGAGGTGTGACCCTGGTCCAGTGTGGTGTCGTGTGTCTCCACCTCGCAGGGGACGTGCCGTCTGGGCCGACCCATGAACTTGTACCTTCCGAGAAAAGGCTTCATATAAATCGGGGGAATTTACGGGAGGACCCGAACGGAAGTCCACATCCGCACCTACACCATAAGTGGCTTTTGGATTTAGCTCCCTGTAAGCTGAGGCTTTATTAGGCACATCACTTGTGCTTGAACTGTCCTGTTTTAATAAGCGTGCACGATATGACAGTTACAGCTGCGGTTGGGGTTTCAATGCCGTGGTAGGCGGCCGTAGGGAACACCATGCTGTGCCGAGCCGGGTGTTGTCTACGGCCCTTATGGGAATGTGAATCGCAGGAAAATGCTCTCGATGACACTTGACTCGGTGTGACCCAGATGTATCCGGTGCCGATGTAATCCGAGCCCCGTCCATAGCTGGAGTGGTGCGAACTCCGTTCAATATCGGTGTAACCCGAGCCCAGTCGAGAGCAGACGTGACCCGAGCCTCGTCGGGAGCCGATGTGACCCCAGCCGTGTCGGGAGCCGACGTGAGCGTCGGGAGCCGTCGGGAGCCGATGTGACCCGAGCCGCGTCGGGAGCCGACGTAAGCGTCGGGAGCCGTCGGGAGCCGATGTGACCCGAGCCCCGTCGGGAGCCGTCGGGAGCCGATGTGACCCGAGTCGCGTCGGGAGCCGATGTGACCCGAGCCGCGTCGGGAGCCGATGTGAGCGTCGGGAGCCGTCGGGAGCCGATGTGACCCGAGCCCCGTCGGGAGCCGACATGACCCGAGCCCCGTCGACGCCGCGCTGTGTGCGCTCGCGCGCCGGCCGCCGTCTATTTTAGGCTAATGGCGGCGCCGGTGGGCGTGCGGCGGCGCCGCGCCGTCCGCCGTAACGGTGCGCGCTCGGCCCGGCCCGGCCCTGCGCTCTCATTAGCCGGCCGCCGTAAATCGGCCCGCCGGCCGCGCCGTTGCAGGCCTTCAGTCATATCAGATGGCTCGCTTCCGACGGCGGGAGCGGCTGCCGGCCGGGCTGCAGTCGCCGCCCGCCGGTGGAAGGGCCGACCGGTGACAATTAGCCACCCGAGTCGGCCGACTTAATGCGGAGAGAGTGGCGAGCGGGACAGAGGGCGGAGGCGACATGGCGTCCCATTATGTCTACTTAGCTAGGGAGGATCATTTCCATGCCGGCTGTGTTGATTCGTTTTCGGCGAAGTGTGCCGTGCTTTTGCCACGCTGGCGCTTCTAATTCCGGTCACCGTTGGCAGGGCCTCGTTCGCTGGCGACGATGTATGCACGCTCTTTGAAAGCTCCGTTTCTCAGATGCTAATTTAACCCATAACCCAACCGTTGGCCTCGTCTACATTCCTCTTAGGAAATGGATTGTGCTCTTTGTAAATGATGGTATCCAGATAACCATTTCCCGACATACGTTCCATGAATGGATATCGTTACCCGAATATGTGCATCGAGGAAACGAGCCCATGCCGTGAGCAATCGAAATTCCCACACTACGTATGGCTCGCCAGTGGTCTGATGCGGCACCAGACTTCTCACATTTGTATCAATTTCGCGATTTTAGCCCGCCTGCTGAAATTCCAAGTTTAACGAGACGGCACTCCGTGGCATGGTGGTTAAGCACCTATGGGCGGTGACAAGCGGCCATGTACACTTGCATGAAAACACGTGGCCCCGAGCAGTCATCGATCATGGGCTAATTACACTTGATATCGGTCTTGATCTATATCATGTGCGCCAAGTATCTGCACTGGCACAGAACATGCCGTCACTCAAAGTCAGCTCCGGCGAGTGATGGCCTTCCCAAGTGCGGCCAGCGCTGCCGCTGGCTGGCCGCGGACGAGCGACCATTCGGCGGCGGGGGGGGGGGGGGGGGGGGCAGCGCCATGCAGCGGAGCAGCGGCTCACCAACGGAGCTCGATGGGCGCTGCGGGGCAGCAGCGTCGCAGATCAGCGTTACATACAGAGGTAATGAAGTCAAGAACAGGATGATATCTGATGATCGACGGCCGTGAAAAGATCTGTGACAATGTTGCATTACTTTAGTGAACAGGGTTTTTATCAGACTTGCCAGCTGGTTGATTCCCAAGCTGGCTTCGGTAAACCTTCGGTTTGAACAGATTTCTGCATGGCTATGCCATATGTGTTGACCTCCAACATCATGGAGCATTTAACTTAGGAATTTAAGCAGCATGCCTCAGCTTACTGATCATTTTATTACAATCCTCCTTCACATGCTGGAGCTTTGTTGCTGGATTTGCGGGCTTCGGAACAACTTGCATGATCTATGGTCTAAATCGAGCTAGGCTCAACTGCCAGGCATCCATGTCCGTTGTCCAATGATTCTAAATTGTTGGCTCTTAAGCTACCGCATTTGGATGCAATTGAAAGCAATCTGAAATTCGAATGCAGATCATCTTAATTTTGACAACACTTGCATTCAAACCCTAGTATAGCACAACTGCATGGCTTCCTCTTGCTGTTACTTTCACTTATGCAGGAACTCAATGAAATGGTGACTTGGGACCTAAAACCTGTTTCGTTTAAATGAACGTACTTATCCCCTACCTACGCATGGGGCCTAAAACAACAAAAAATGTCATCAGCTGACACCATGTGTAGCGCAGACAATCTCGAATGATACGAAACATGCGGCCCGAGCTCCGC